ACAGGCATGCGTCACCATGCTCGGCTAATTTTTGTATATTTTTAATAGAAACTGGGTTTCACCCTGTTGGTCAGGCTGGTCTCAAACTCCTGACCTCAAATGATCCACCCACCTCAGCCTCCCAAAGTGCTGGGATTACAGGCATGAACCACCACGCCAGCCCAGTTCAGTTTTAAGAAGAGTAAATAATAGCCTTAAATAAACTCAGGTGTCTAAGCTGAGATTAACACCAAAATACTGAAATAATTTATAGATGTATTAATATTTGGGGACTCACTGTTGAGAACCTCTGAGTAATCATGGAGATTGGTAGAGGAGCCAGAAGGTGGAAAAATAAGCAAATATATATTTTTTTAAGTGGAGAAAAATCTTCAGAAAATAATAGATTAACAAGCATTTCAAACAGATTACGATAGGAAATAGGTGGTTTGTGAACATGAGACGAGGAAGTGGTAATCACTCAAGCCAAAAATAACCACTTAATCCTAACTCTTCTTTTGCTAGGGTTATTAGTGCCTATTTTGTAGACATATTGTGGTTGATTATGATCTGAATTATCCCTGGATCCCTTGTTCAAAGTATACTTAAATCTAAAGAACATTTAAGTAGAAAGTTGAAGAGCTTATCTTTACATGGACTTGGCCTGTGCAAAACCCATGTCCATTATTTATAGTTGTCACACCCTGCGAAATGCGTTCAGTAATAGAATCAGAGTTTAAATATATGTTCGGTGGGTTGAATTACAGGTCAAAACCCAGTAAGTAAAATTTCACAAAGGTAAATGGAAAGCCTGACAGTTAGGTAAAGAGGAAACAACTCCCATAAAAACAGAGTGACAGAGTCCTGACCTACAATTCTCCATTGAGAAAAGATGTAGGGGTTTTAGTTGACTTCAAACTTAAAGTAACCCAGCAGTTCATCAATCTAATGCTACCTTTAAATGTATCTTTTTTAAAGTCCAAATAAAGGAAAATAATAAATCTGTTGTATTCTCTACTAATCGTATATTTTTTTTTCTTGGTGAGCTCCATGGTAGCTTTGTGTAAATATTTATCCTTTGCTTCATCTTTTGTAAATATGACACATTAAATGATTAGATGGGTAAAAGTCATTTGATCAGCAAATATTAATGGAGCATCTATTTCATGTGAGTTACAAGATAGTTACTGCTACTTTGTAGGAAAAAATAGATGGTTCCTCCCTGCTGCAAGAGAGGAGTCATACATACAAATGATGATCGCACCAGGTGCAGTGTGACGCACGCCACAAGGCACTGTGGCGGTTCAAAACACTGCAAGATCCAAGAACCCTCAGGAAGAACGGACCTTAAAGAATTTTAACAAATGGGGATAAAAGGAGAGATTATTTTAGGTATAAAACAAGGCATGTGCAAATTTTCAGAGGCTCAAAGCATAGGGCATGGCTCAGTCAATAGCAAATTGTTCTTAGTGACTGGTGTACATAGAAGGTCAGGGAAGGTGACTAGAATGGTATTCTGAGGCCAGTGGTGACAATTGTATATTGGCAGTAAAGAATTTAGAATTTACACTGTCAGCCAGGCCAGTGGCTCATGCTCATGCCTGTAATCCTAGCACTTTGGGAGGACAAGGCAGGTGGAACCCCGTCTCTACTAAAAATACAAAAATTAGCCCAGCATGGTGGTGCGAGCCTGTAATCCCAGCTACTTGGGAGGCTGAGGCACGAGAATTGCTTGAACCTGGGAGGTAGAGGTTGCAATGAGCCGAGATCATGCCACTGCACTTCAGCCTGTGCAACAGAGTGAGACTCCATCTCAAAAAAAAAAAAAAAAGGATTTACATTGTCAACCCTGGGCAGTTGGGAGCAATTAAAAATTTTTAAGTAACATGTTGGAATTTTGCTTTACAAAACCAGAACTGAGAGTAACATGCTAGACTTAAATCGGTCATTTGAAAACATGTCATTTAATTATTGCATTTGAGTTAGGAGTTGGGTCATGTTATTATCTTCATTTATAGATGAAGATTTGAGGCTTAGGAAAGTGAATTACCCCAGGTCCTAATAGAGGTAACCTCAAACCCTAATCTGCCTCAACACCAAAGCCTCAGCTCACTACCATCATTTTACTATGTAAAGTATAGTAGCACTGACTGAAGGAGTGAGGAGAAGGTATAGAGAGTTAAAGACAGCATGGGTTAAAT